TTTTTTTTCCCAGTGGCAGCCGCACATCTCATGCTTCACATGTCCGAAGCATCCCTCTTCTTTTAACGACAATCCGTAAACGTCTAGTTACCGAGGAGACAGCAGCTGGAGGTTTTGAGGGGAATGTTGTCCCATGATGGAGAATTATAGCTTTTTCAACAATCCTGGCTCTTCTTTTCCTTCTTTTTCAGAGCGTACCAAATGTTTCCAGTTAGTGGGAGGTCTGGACTGCAGGCAGACCAGTTCAGCACCCAGAATCTTCTCCTACATGCAGCCGTCATGGATGCAGCATCGTCTTACAGATATTTGAAAGACCCTCCCTGAAAAAGAAGTCGTCTGAGCAGAAGCAAGTTGTTCTAAAAACCTGTATTGATATTTCATTTCCAGTTGTGCAAGCTGCCATTGCCATAACTAATGCACCTCCATATCATCAGAGAGGCAGGCCTTTGAACTAATAAACCGGATAGACTCAGTTATTTATTTTTTTGTACGTCTGTGTTTACAGCCAATGATTTGTGGAAGTGTATCCGTTCATGCAGCGATTTCGTAACAGAATTAGACGTTTTATTGCAGTGGCTCCCGAGGGCGCAAACATCACAAACATAGAATTTTACCAGTCAACCTTGCCCTTTGAGGTTTCTCCAGATTCTTGAAATATTTTGATGAAGGCCAGTATCTGTGATACTCGGGCATACAGAGTATACCCACTAGAAAAGCTTAAGAATTTCAGTATAACCACTTAAAAGTGCCCAAAAATACATATTCCACACGTGTCATTGATACGTGAAACAGCAGTTAAACGCTTCCGTAACAATCTATCCGTTTGCAGCGCTTCACTTCGATACAGTTTTATAAATTCTATAAAACGTTTTTAATACAAAGCCAACTGTTGTACAAAGCTTGCTGTTTATTTATTTAAATATAAGCATCAGAGAAATTTGGAAATGTTCAATACGCTTAAAAATCAAAATAAATTGACGATTACATTGTACTAACCAGTGTACTTTGGTTTCTAAGCCCAGTACACCCACTACAAAAATGTAGACTACCCCACTGATGAAGTCACATGATTGTATATGTAAAGTTATCCCAGTTTTTAATCGAGGAGCTTTAACTGTGCCACTCTTCTCTTAGACTGGTGAACCTCTGCCCATCTTTACTTCCTCTCTAAAATGCTCTTTTTACACCCTGTGCTTTTATCGACTTGTAAACCTAAATTGCTGCAAAAATCTCCACAAGTTGTTTCTCACTCGATTCAGTGCTAACATTAACTTTGTTGTTTTTTTCCTGTGCACAGAAATGATATTGCAGCTTCATGTGAAAACTCGTTTTTTTTTTTTTGTTTGTTTTTTTCTTTCCTTCCCCTCGTGCGTAAAAAGTCATTTTCTGCTGTGAACTTGTAGCAGCAGGACATCTCTGGACAAGTGCGTTTCCGCTCACAGGTGAGCCTCCTCCAGCCCCCCCCCCCCCCCCCCTCCTCTCCTCCTCCACGCCATCCCCAGAATGCGACCAATAATGTTGCCGAGGGGCGGGGAGGAGCGCGGGCTGCGGACCCTGTGGCGCGCAGAGGAGGAGAGGCGGCAGAGGCGGAGGAGATGGACTCGCACCTCTGAGTCACGGCTCAGTTCTCCAGTCAGCATCACCAGGAAGGAGCGGACGTTTGTGACGGGGTTTAGTTTGCTTCCAAGTGTCTCTGCTCAGACAGACAGACAGACAGACAGACAGACAGACAGACTGCGCTGCAGCCGCCAGGGCGCAGGAGGTTGAGTTGCATTCCGACGCTGCGCGCTGCCGACGTCTCACCTGCTCCGCTGGAGGAAGAGGCTCCTTCTCATCATCATGCATCCGGAGAAGTGCTTACCTGAGCTGGTGGCTGAGAAAAACAGCTTGGACCCGTCGTTTGTCCATGCAGCCCGCCTGCTTGCAGAAGGTAACCCTCCCCCCTTACAATTAAAACATCTTGTTCTTCTGTTCTCTTTTGCTCTTTGTTTCCCTGAAAGCGCCGTCGCCTTGGATGTTGGAGTGCGCTGACTTTAGTTCAGTTTCCATCAGCACACATCCTTCACTTTCACCGCTTTCCTGGTTGTTGAAGGCCACTTTTCTTCCGTTCCTGCCCCAACTCGGAGCTGAAATGTTGTGAGCACTGAAAGTGAAAGAGTTTAAAATCCCACAGTCCTGCTCTCCGAGTCTGGCTGCCAGAAAATGAAGTGAACAGAAATGACATGAGAATATACACAGAAATACTTTGGCTTGGCGTCGTTTTATTTGTGCAGCTTAGCTGTGCTTTCAGATTAAAACTGAAAGTGATCAGGAAAGTTGATTTAAATAAAATCAATTTTCTTATACACAATAAGTGAAAACTTTTTCTAACAGAAACAACTTTACACTGAACATCCTGAACTATATCAAGTGGTGCAGTTAGAAAAAGCTCTGGTTTTGCACGTGTTCATATAATGCAGGTACACATAGAATGTAAACAAAGCCCTTTAATCTGTGCACTTTACTCAACACATCTCAGCATAAATAAAAACTAATCCATCAGAATCGTTGAACTTCATGACCCCAGATGTCTCTTCCATCATAGTAAAGTTCCTCATAAAAAATAAAGTACTTGGACTTGAATTTGTTTTTAGTCCCTTTAGCTGTTTTTATAAGTAAACAAGCACATGCTGTAATTAATAGCCATACATAAAGTTTGTATATTTTGAATTTAAGGACATATTAACTACCATTATAAAGAAAAGAATAACATATTTTGTTTTTTTTATTCATTATTTTCTGTGCTTTGTTTTTGACTGGTCTTCCTGACATTGTAATGAGGACCTTGAATATTTCAGTTAACACACCTATATAGAGATCGTCTGGTGAATTTTTGAAGTGATGTTCTGTCACATTATCAGCTGTGAAGCGCATCAGTTATTATTATTATTATTTTGCAGTACAGTGTGGCCGTCGGCTTTTTCATCCTTAAGGCAACATTTATGTTTGCAGCTGTAAGAACTATAGAAGCTGCATCATTTGCATCACATCTTATTGCTACATTATCAAAAGTCTCAGTCATTGTGAATAATGACACAGGAAATGCAAGTCCTTTAATCAGCAAATTTATGCTACAGAAGTAAATTATGTGTGGTACAAATCATTACTATATAATGGCAAATGACCTGCTTTTGTAATGGCTAAATGAATGAATGGATTAAATTATACTATTCAGTTCAATTCAGTTTATTTATATAGAGTCAAGTCACAACAGAAGTCATCTCAGGACACCGAACAGAAACATTCATATACATAAAAAGTAAGTTGACATTAATTATTTGAGGAGCACACTGCTTCATTGCAGACTCATCTTGAGCAAGCATGACGGCGACAGTGGAAAGTAAAAACTCCCTGATGAGGAAGAAACCTTTAGCAGAACCAGGCTCAGGACAAGTGACCTGCTTCAACTGGCTGGGTTTGAGAGGAACAGATACACAATGGCAGGTCAAGAATCACATGTTAAGATAGAAATAATGTCAAATGAAAACTAATCAGTTGTAACAATTCATTTTAAGAAATGAGGCCAGTTTGTCCTCCAGTAGTCGAAGCCTGTGGCAGCATAACAAACCAACCCTAACTATAGGATTTATCAAAAAGGAAAGTCTTAATCCCAGTCTTTAAACTGGACAATGTGTCAGCCTCACGAACAGAAACTGGAAGTTGGTTCCACAAGAAGAGCCTGATATTTGAAAGATCTTCCTCACATTCTGCTCTTGGAAACTCAAGGAACCGCAAGTAAACCTGCAGTCTGAGAGCGAAGTGCTCTGTTAGAAAAACGTGGAACAATAAGATCTGTAATATAAGATGGAGCTAGGCTGTTGAGGGCTTTGTAGGTTAGAAGTAAGATGTTGACTTAAAATCTGGACTTGACAAAGAACCAATGGACAGAAGCTAAAACTGGATACTACGATAAATACTGTTGAAGAAAAACAAATAACCAAACCAATCTAAAATAAATATAAAATTCCCTAATTTGTTAAAAGCAAGCTCAAACTATAACTAAATTATTCCAAGGGGAGCGGATTGAAACTGTGTTTTTCCCTCATGAATAAATGATTTTCGACCGATTTGACGTCTTTAAAAGAAAAAGCAGTAAGTCACAGTGTTAGATTAATGTGCTGCAACCGGACAGGGTGTTTGTGGTCTGATGCTCGGGCTCCTTTGAGCTTTCCCGTTGAAATGTGTTGATGAGACACCTGACAGCACCACGTTTGA